CCCGGGGGATTGGGCTAAGCCGGCTGTCAGACATTCCTCTCACAGTCCAGGGCTCTTGCAGTCCGGGACCACTTGCTCATTACCACCCACCTGCAGAGGAGGCAGGAGAGGCTCCCGCCACCACTGCTGTGCTTGCCAGCCTTGAGCCCAGCTTCTGGCTAAGTGGCACTCCCCCTGTGGGAGGACACTGACCACCAGGCGCAGCTCCTGCGTTGAGTGTCTGCCCCTGGTGGTCAGTGCACATCATAGCAACCAGTCATTCCGCAGGTCATTCCACCGTTTGGCCAATTTGCATATTAGGGTTTTATTATATAGGATAATAATAAGTCATGAATGACATATTTCAATGAAATTTTCCAGAGTTTAAAAATGCCATATTTTGTTCTTTTTAAAAAAGAGAATGTTTTTAGCCTAAATTGAAAGTTAATATACACAGCTACCAGCTCTGAACCTAATCCAGATAATGCCCTCGTATAATCTTGGCCAATAGATCAATGTAACATGTTCCTACGGTTGGAGGAAAGGGTAAGGATGGTGAAGCAGTGGGGTCAGGGTTGGGAAGGCAGGGACCGTGGCATCATTCTGCAAGAAGGGGATTCTTCCACCTATATTTCTGCCACAGATATTGTTTTCTCCCCCATGCCACATTCCAATTTGATCTCGAAAAGGCCTGGGTGAAGCATTGTTCTTATTCCCAAAGCTATGCTAACTTTCATAAGCAAAGTCCTACTTGGCTGAAGATTGCTATCATCAATCTCCTAGAAAACCAGTCTCATAGAAAATTTCCCAGGTCAGAGATTCACTCTGAGAGTATTCCGTTCCTATTCCAGGAGCATCACATTCTAGATTTTAGGGTATCTAGGTCCAAAGGAGACTTGGATACTTTTGGCTTGTGCTGGTGAGAAATGATTCCAATTAGATTTTTTTATTGTTGTTGTTAATCCTCACCTGAGGATTTTTTCCATTGATTTTTAGAGAGAGTAGAAGGGAGGGAGAGAAAGGGTAAGAGAGAGAGAAACATCAATGTGAGAGAGAGATATCAATTGGTTGCCTCCCACCTGCACCCCGACCAGGGCCAGGAAGCAAAAGCTTGACCAGTAATCAAACCTGTGACCCTCCAGTGTGCGAGCCAACACTCTAACCACTAAGCAACACTGGCCAGGGCACCAATTAGATTTTTAAGTTGAAGACTTTAGTCACTCCAAAGATCACTCAAGGGGTGAGAATTTCTCTAATAAGATGCATATTCATATGTGCATACAAAACTCACTGTAGGTCCCTCACACCCACTAACGGCATCTCTGGCTTTGAGATCATGCCCTTGGCCTGTAGGCCTTGCTCATTGTCCTAGCACCAAGAAAGCCTTCAAGCTCTCAGCAGGAACTATAAATGGTCTTTTCCCATTATGCCCTCAGGTATAGCAAATGTGAGCTGGGGAAGAAGCACTGAAGTTCGTTACCTTTCACGATAGGGGCTGATATAATAGATTTCAAGGAAGTAGGAAATACACATGTTCCTCCATAGTTTGAAATTTCAGGGTGACCTACTAACTGTGATCACATGGGCACTCCTTTGTAAGCTAAAGAAAAAGCAAACAGAGCTGCATGGGCCTAATTTTTTTTTTAGTGGGAAAGGTGAGAATTTCCTGCCTAAACCATATAGCCCCATAGCTGGTTTTACCTAATGGGGTCATGGGGTTGGGAGGAATTAGGGGGTATCCAGTCAAATGGCCATACTCTTGGGCTCTAAATCCAGAAAGGGGTTTTTCATTGAACTTTATTGTGGGAATCTCAAAGTTCAGAAGCCATCATAAGTGAGAACCAGCCTCATCCTCAGACATGGCCCATGCATCCTACACTGCAGCCATACTTGAAGTGTTTGCTGTTCCCAGAGCATGGCTTGTACTTGCAGGATGCCTTCATGCCTGGTTGATGCCATTTCTTCTGTCTGGATTGCCTTCTTGTCTGCTTGGCAAACTGCAGCTCCATTCTTCAATGCTCACTTCTAAAGTTTTCATGAAGCCTTGAGTAATCACTCCTCAGGCAAAATCAACCACCACCTCTTCTGTGCTCTCACAGGCTGTGGCCACAATGTGCACAGTGTTTGCATTGGCATAACTTGGGGACTTGCCTGTTTTTGGTCTTTCTAACTAGGTTATGTTCTCTTTAAGGTCCAAGAGAGGCAAGAATTTGTCTTATTTATCTGTTTAACAGTGTGGCCTGGAGGTGGAGAGGACAGACTCTGGAACCACACTGACTAGCTTTTGCATTTCCTAGTTCTGTGACTTCTGTGTCAGCTTCCTCATCTGTAAAATGGACGAATTCAAAACCTACCTCACAGAGTTGTTGTGAGAAGTAGATGGATTCATCTATGAAAAGGGCTTAGAAAAAACAATACCTGGCATATTTTATTAGCTTATTATTATTATTATTATTATCCCTTTTACATAACATAGTGCTTGGCCCAACACATAGATTAGCTGCTCAATAAATGTTTGTTGAGTAAATGAAACAATGTTATAACTTATTTTAAAGAACACCTATTCTCAGAGATTAAAAAACAAAATTTTCACATATCCTTACTATAAATTGGCACATTCTGCTTAGTTTAAGTATGCTCTACTTTAAGAAAAAACAACATAGAGAGCTTAGCATTTTGAAGCAGTTGCTTATTACAAAATAAGTAAATAAATATATAGAGTTTGACTTGAATATTTTCTTTTACTATCCACTCCTTTAATATAGATACAGGTGGTTAACTGCTTAACACTTACATATCTCTTCAGACAAACTGAATGCTAATGATGACTGTCCACTAAATTCTACCCAGTCATATTTAACACCATAAGCAAGCCAATTAAAGGAGAATATTTAAATTCACAAAATCTGATTTAAATACATTTGTTTTCCAGGAAAAATAAAAGTTCCAGGGGACTTAAAAAATTCCCAAAGGACTGTTATGTGGGAGGGCATGGATGATGTCCCCTCAGAGTTAGCAATAAACACACGGTTTCTTTCTTCACATATTCTTCTACACCAGAAAATAAGTCTTTAAAATTTGACAACTGGCGATGACTTGGCCAACATTTTTAGGAAGAACGCTTCATCCATTTGGGAATTGCCTTTTTTCTTTGGGCCCGTCAGGTTCGCGTCCAGGAAAAGGGAAATGCTATGTAGTAACTCGATGTTCTATTGTCATTCTTCCTACACCTCCAGGCATTGCATTTGTTATTATTAAATGTCTTGGTGTGCTGTGTCTCTTTGAAAGAGCTGCAGGGGAAACAGCTGGCAGTAAACCATCACTTTGAACAGGCTGTGGCCACATGACACCTGGCTCTGCTCAGTAAATATCCAGAGAGAGGCTGTCTCTCTTGCTCACTGTTCAGCATGGAAACAAGATAAGCAAGCCAGTCCCCTGCTGGGCTCCTGCCTCCCATCCTTGCACCCCAGCAATCCCACCATCCTCGTGCACAGGGTAGCTGCGGGAGAGGGGGCATTGCCAGGTCAAGCGGGTGCAATGTAGGAACTGAAAGAGGAGGACAGAGTGGGTTGAAGGATGTGAAACTGGAAGGGCCGATGGGAGGCAATAGAGCCAGTGAGGGTGAGGGGCTGTCTAAGAGCAACCTTGCCTCTGGATGCAGGGAGTAGGT